TTGTCAAGATCAACTCGGTAGTTTCGTCCACCATAACGTTCACCGCCCAAGCTTGTGCCACCCTTCCTCCGTACACTGAAGACATGCTGGTGAGGTCCATACAGTTTGGCGGTATGCTGCTTGGCTAATTCCTTAGCTTCCTTCAAATGTTCTATTCCGGCCTTTCCAAATCGCCCAAGCTTAGCTAGATTCCTCTGCACAAGTTTCCACCTCTTGACAAATATTCATTGCACTTGTGAAACGAGAACTCAACAATTCCAAACATAGGTAACGATCAAACTCTGATGAATACACGGTTGAAAGACTCTGACGAGTTGGTGGTCATGATGCCGTACTTGAAACCGCCCTCGTCATATGCTAACGCCCACTTAGCCTTCTGTTCCATCTGCTCCTCTAACCAGACCTTGCTCGCTTGGTTTAGCATCTTGTCTAGTTCTCTCTTTTGTCTCCTTGAACTAGTGCTCTATATGTACACAATATAGAGCCTTTACCTTGTCACAAACCTCCTTCCTCTAACGTCGCCAGAAATTAGTGGCAAAATGTTGCATGCACCATCTGTGCACTAGAGGCAGGAACCCATCGATATGTTCATTTGCAGCATTAAGAAGCCCTACATGATGGTCCAAGATCAAACATATAGTGCGAGATGGGCCAAGCACTTGTACACGTAGATGTCGCATAAACAATGACCATGATTCATTGTTCTCTCCCTCTACCAAAGCAAAAGCCATGGGTACTATCTGGTCCTCCGGATCAACAGCAGCAGCCATCATCAAGGTGCCCCTATACTTTTCGGTTAGGAAAGTGCCATCAACAAGTATGACTAGCCAACAATACTTGAATGCATGTTCCGCCTACGCGAATGACTAGAACACACGATGCAGGACATGCCTCAACGGGTTCTGCAAATACATTCCTCCGGTGTCTATAAACCATTTCAAGCTAGGGTTGTAGTAACTCATTGCATACAATATTTGGGGAACCCTGTTGTACGCTTCCTCCCAGCTACCCCAATGAATCGCCAGGGCAATTTGCTTAGCACACCAAGCCTTTCCATACTTCACATCATACTTAACGAATCCGAATATGGACTGTTGTATGGAAGACACTGAAATATCATTATTGTCATCAACAAGCCCCAATATACGATGGGTAAGGTAACGTGCAGTGAGCTGCTGATGATTTTCCTTCCCCTTATTTGATAGGTAAGTGTGGGGTTGGACCACTTTACTTATCATCCACTTGCCATCACTCTGTCTCTTTCATGCATTTAACCTCCACATATAACCATTTTTGCATATCATGTGGTACCACAACTCCTGGTCCGAATGAGTGATGGTGTACGGCCTATGGTGATGGACAACATAGTCATGAAGGAACAGGTTCATCTCTGACATTGTATTGAATATCATCCCCTTGCTAAGGATTACATTCTCATGGTCATACAATGATTTGCTACACATCTGCAGATCGGTATCACAAACTGCCATATCAGTCATGCTGACATCCCTATAGTTCGAAATGTCACTGAAAGGTATGTTCATCGACCTCAATTGCATAAGCTCTATCGTTGTGTAAGGATCTGGTGGAACGTACTGTTGTGCTTCGCTAATTCTAGCCCATGAATCATAGAGGGTATCATCCTCTAGCAAATCTAGGACTAGTCTTTCCTGAGCCAGCATAGCATGAAGTACCTCAGTTGGTACTGGTAATGACATAGCATGAACTGGTACTGGCATAGCATCATCCGGTGTTGGTCATAATCCGAATAGTCTGAATCATGGCTAACTACACCGATCCTGTCCTCCTCCTGCTCCTCCTCCTCCCATTCGAACTCGTTCATGTCGAAGTCATTGTTTATACAGCCTAATGAGAACCGCCTTGAATCATCGACTACCATTGGAGTTGAATGAAGCTGCTCCTACGTCAACTGACCACCCAAATCCAAAGTATCCATAGTTGGTTTCACATGGACCCCACATTCTTGTTGAGTATCTGTGGGGATATGACCCCCGGTATCCACAGGACAAGACATGGGTCGCATCATTAGAGGTGGCCCAGCCCACAAGATCAAGGCGTGCGGCGCACGGCAATGGTCACGTGCACCGCAAGGTTACAAGAAGATATTGTAATACCAAATAGGATATTTTCCTTGTAACACTACCCCTCTAAAGTATATAAGGAAGGGCAGGGGTCCCCTAGATGATATATCGGATCATACGTAATACAATCCACAAAGACACGGGATGTAGGGTATTACATCAAGCCGACAGCCCGAACCTGTCTAATCGCTGCCTCTTGCGTTACGTGTCACCATCTGGTTTTCTCACACGCACCTACACCGATTTATCTACTACTATGGGCATACCTCTTGATAGACTGTCGACTAGATTTCGTCGACAGTATCACCATCAAAGGACAGCCCGTCCTAGAGACCATGCATTTTGTTCCGATTCTCCACCACCACCTCAGTCATGGCCACATTGGAACCTTGGATTACCCTATTATAGAGGGACCAGTGAGCATGGTCGCTCAAGGGCATCAACACGTAGTGTGCCCTAGTCTTTCCACTATCAAATCCCCCTTCAGTGTGAAATCACCGTCAAACTTTACCTTCAAACGGACACAAAGATCGCACAAACCATTCCAATTCTTCTTTCAGATCCTCAAACATACCATCTTCTCTACTAACACTTACTCCGTAAAAAACTCTGACACAACAATCCATCTATAAAAGCATTTCAAGAAACTTCATCAAGTCGCCCAAATCGTTGTGCCTACTAACTAATCTAGTATTAATAGCTATACTAACTAAGAAAACTAACTAATCTAATATTAATACCTATAACAATAATTCTAACTCACTATACTAACTAACTATACTAAATACACTAACAAAACTAATATTAGTACCTATACTAACTGTATTAACCAACTATACTAACTAACTTTACTAACTATACCTATCTAGCTAACTTTACTAACTAACTTTATTGACTAATTATAGAAATCATTATTTAGTCAAACTAATTTTGAATCCTAACCCTAGCTAACAACAATTCTATTAAAGCAACAAATGCACAAGAGGATTACCTTAACAAACCACAGCGGGAGATTGGGGCTCACCCTAATCCACCTAAGACGACGAGCTGGCCATCGGCGGCAATGGCCTACCGGCGACAGGCTTCTCCTGACGACCGGTGGCGGGCTTCTTCTGCGCCCAAAGTTGGAGGAGGGTTAAGGACAGGGGGTGGCAGAGGAGGGAGAGGATAGGAAGAGAGGGAGGCGGCGTCACAAGGGCGTGAGGCCGTGCAAAGAACGGAGGAGGCGGTGGGGAGAGGGAGGGCGTCTGACATGTGGGGAGAGAGAGGCGGGCGTGGCGGGTGGGGAGTGAGGGAGGAGGTGGTGGGGCATGCCAAGATGGGCGAAAAGGGCGACTCAAGGCGTGGTTCCTCTCTCCAACCGGTTCAAAATGGGCTGAGTGAGATAGAGAGAGGAAGGGAAGCGAGGCTGGGCCGCAGTTCAGACAAGGGGTCACGGATTTGTGATGCGTGGTGGCGTCGGCAAGCATCCTAACCGGTATGATGATAGCAGACCACGTCGCCGATCGGTGTCGTGGCGAGGCCGCCACAGTGTGCACCATCATGCTAACGATCGTGGCTAAAAATGTTAGTTTAAAAAAAATAGTGTTAGATTTAAAAATAGTTTTAAAAAAATGTTAAAAATAAAAAATGCCGCTGATTCCTGCGCGTTCACCCTGTTCGGTTGGCTGGTTCATTTCATTGCTGGTTCGTGAAGAAGTACCGCTGGTAGGTTTGTGTGAGAGAAAAATAATGTTTCAGCTGAAAATTTACGATCGTTTGTGACAAGCCACAGTCTGTTCGGTTGGCTGGTTCGTTTCGTTGCTGGTTCGTGAAGAAGTACTGCTGGCTAGTTTGTGTGAGAGAAAAATACTATTCCGGCTGAAAATTTACGATTGTTTACGATAAGCTATGGTCAAACAAACAGATTGATCTATTCGGTTGGCTGATTCATATCATTGCTGGTTCGTAAAGAAGTAACGCGAGAGAGCTGTCAAAGCCACAGCAAACGAACGCGCTACGCCGCGGCGCCAACGAATACAACACGGGCCGGCCCCCTCTCCCTCCGCGTTAACCCGATGCCATTAGCTATTATCTTAATTAATTAATTAAAATAATTATATACACCAACTACCCGGCCACCCCGTTCAACGCGACCAAATATCCGATTAATCCCTCTCCCGGCGAAAAAAAATCTGCGTCCACCGCCCCCCGAAAGGAAATAGACGGACGGATAGCGAACGCACGCGCTCCGCTTTCTCTCTCTACTCCCTTCCCCCTCCTTCCCCTACCTATTCGCCGCCCCTCTCTCTCTCCTGCCCCTCACCCCGCCGCCCCACGGCCCACCCCGCCGACGCGCCACCTCCGTCTCTCTCTCTCTCTCTTCCCCGCCGACGCGGGGCGGCGGATCGCCGGATCCGCGCGGGGAAGGGGGATCTGGATTGGATGGTCCTCTCCGGCCGCGCCTCGGCCGGCCTGATCTGATCCGACCCGTCCCGTCCCGGCGGCGCAGTCCGGGAAGGTCCTGCGGGGGGATTTCGGACTCGGGCTCTCGAGTCTCTCTGCGGCGAGGGGTTTCCGGGCCCGGGCAGTGTCCGGATCCGTGTGCCTGGCGGTGGTTACCTTTGCGTAATCCTAGTCGGAGTCGCCGTGCTCAGCAGCAGATATAAGGGATCGGGCGCTCCAGATTGAGCCCGGGAAGAGGTCGTGTCGCGCCCGTTCTCCGCGTGAAAGTCGTGATTTTGTGGCGGCGCGGCTGTGAGTTGCCGTGATTTTTTCGGGGTTTCCGGCGGCCGATCCGCTCTAGTTACCCTATCCTGTTCCTTCAGGGCGGCGGCCTCGTGTTGGGGGCTCTCGTTTGTTTGCCGTGCCGCGTCTCCCGAGGAGGATTTGATTTAGTGTTCTCGTGCCGTTGGTTCCATGGCCAGCGGCTCTGATCCCCCGAAACAGTACGGAATAACCAAGCCCTTGTCGTTGCTCGGGCCGGTGGAGGCCGACCTCCAGAGGACGGCGGAACTAGAGAAGGTTTGTAATTGATTTATTAGTTTCATGTTACCAGTATTGTCTCAATTCTTTTGCCCGACTGATATTGTACTATCTAACTACAAGTTTTGCCCGACTGATACTGTACTATGTAATTACTGTTTTTCTGTTGTTGATTTGCAGTTTTTGGTCGAGACGGGTCTCTATGAGAGCCCTGACGAATCTGCTAGGCGGGAGGAGGTGCTGGGGAAACTTGACCAGGTAGCTACTCTTGTTGCCACACGTGTTCTTATGCTCAACACAGCATTATCCTTCTCTAAACATGCTCTTTTGGCATTTGCAGATTGTAAAAGACTGGGTGAAGCAATTGACTAGTCAGAGAGGATATACTGATCAAATGGTTGAAGAGGCAAATGCTGTACTCTTCACCTTTGGCTCATACCGTCTTGGGGTAATTTCTACCACTTCCCTTTTACTAGTTGCGCCTGTTTTGCTCTGCCACCCATCTTTTATTCATTCATTAGTGGACTCGTGATGGACTGATGTGTACAGTTTAGATAGTCTTTGTACTTGCGATAGTGTGTGTGTGTGTGTGTGTGTGTGTGTGTATATATATAGTTTTGATGCTCCTTTAACAGTGTTCGTGTCCTATTAAAATACAACAATGGAAGGACTAGTTGCGATAGTGTATGATCAACAGCATCATACAAGATGCACTTTGTTTTAGTGAAACTTGGAACATTACTGGATTACTGGAATATAAGTAGCAACAACAATGGTTTTGGAATATGCATTCCACAGGGAAATGTGGGTGAGATGAGGCATTTTTGCTTCTTGCACAATAATGTTCCACATTCATCATTGGCTAGTTCGAGTTTAATGGTCATGCTCACACATGGTGGCCTCTAGGCTGGTTTGTATAGATACCTTGATGACCATATGTCATATCACTTTGTTGTGTAACGTTGCTGTCAATTAGAATCTGGATCCAAGCTGAATCTTTTGGAGGTAGTCATGCTGCTGTCAGAGACATAATAACAAGTGGTAACAGGCCATTAATTTCTGGTGTCTGCTTCTAGTGGCTGGTAGGTACCATACTAGCCAGTAATAGGTGATTTAAAGTTCTGGTGTAACCTTGTGATTCTAACAAGTATAAGGCTACACAAACACAAATCTTGTGGGATTTTATAGGTGTGTAATGTAAAGAACAAACCACCAAACGAAATGAACCAGAAACACAGGATTATCAAGCTGGTAACTACATGATTAGGCCATCAGCCTAGTTCTGGTTAAAATCAGGCTTGTAGTTTGATATTTGGATTTTCATGATGCTTCTGATCACAAGGCTGTCTGTAGAAAATATATAAATTACGTGGATCTGTAATCCTTCTTTGTGAAGAATTTCTTATACTTTATTTTTCACATAGTAATTTGTTTTTGCTTTTTATTTCACCTTTGTAGGTTCATGGACCTGGAGCTGATATTGATACACTCTGTGTTGGACCTTCATATGTGAACCGTGAGGTGATTTTTTTTGTTCTGTTACATATTTGGTGTGGTTTATATATTAGAGACAGGATTTTACTAACATATGATTCTGTTGTCAGGAAGATTTTTTTATTGTACTGCATGGGATATTAGCACAAACAGAGGATGTGACCGAGCTGCAGCCTGTACCTGATGCACATGTCCCTGTTATGAAATTTAAGTTCCATGGAATATCTATTGACCTTCTTTATGCCAGTGTCTCCCTCTTAGTAGTACCAGCTGTAAGTTTCTTACTAGATGTTTCCCCCAGTTAATCAATTGTTTATCTGTTCAACTTAGACATAGCTTATTTCATGAGGTATTTGAACTTGTATCATAAAGATTTTTTATTTTCAGCTGTTCTTTTAGTGTGACACAGAATACAGCCTTTTGTATTAAACATGGTACATGGCAGTGTTTTGTTTATGTCTACAGGTGTCGTTCCTGCTTTAGGTTAATATACATTTGATGAGGAATTTTTATGACTCACTTGGTGTCTTAGTTATGTCAGAGGTTCTATCTTACGGGCCTGTGCTTGCAATACAAAATCAGTCTTTTGCTTCAGTTTTAAAGTTGCAGATTACTTGTATTTTGGTAACAATCTGACTGTTGCTACCAAAACTTTTATAATTTGTTAGAATGCCTTCCATCTATATATTTTGTAGTCATCCTGGTAAATTTTATTGTTTTGTTACCCCTGGTTGCACTGCCTTCTGTTTCTCTGCTGTAGTGAGGTATCTAGTGTGAACATTTTATTCTCGATATTCCTGAACTTTGTTTTTTTTGCAATGCTATTTTTGTGACTTTGAGATGCATTTATTTACAAGTTCTTCACTATCAGCCTTGATTCATTGGGACAAACGGGTTAATTTTACAGACATCAATCAATGCAGAATTCCCTCTGCTGTTGATTTCACCAAATCTTTAGTTTCTTTGTCGTGTCCTTAAATTTATGCATGAAGGTTTACATGTGGGTCCTGCATCAATGCTGTATTATGCCATTTTGTTCCAAGAGATACATATCTAGTTAACTTGCTACTGCAGGACTTGGATATCTCTCAAGGATCAGTCCTTTATGACGTCGATGAAGCTACTGTCCGTAGTCTTAATGGGTGCAGAGTAGCGGATCAAATCATTAGACTTGTTCCAAATATTGAGGTTGACTTGAGGAATCAGATACGCATGTTTCGTTTTCTCAACTGTCTGTTACCTCTAAAATATCTGAACGTTCTAATTCTATGCGTCTTTTCTTACAGAATTTTCGCACGACATTAAGATGTTTGAAGTACTGGGCAAAAAGAAGAGGTGTTTACTCTAATGTAAGTTTTTGTCACAAGTACGCTTGGCTAACTTCCTCTTCAACTTGCTATGATATCCAATCATTCGTTTTGCCAGGTTACTGGTTTTCTTGGTGGTGTCAACTGGGCTTTACTGGTTGCACGTGTCTGCCAGCTCTATCCCAATGCTGTGCCAAGTATGCTGGTCTCACGGTTTTTTAGAGTTTTTACACAATGGCAGTGGCCAAATCCGGTTATGCTTTGTTCCATAGAAGAGGATGAAGTTGGTTTCCCCGTTTGGGATCCACGCAAAAATCCTCGAGATAGATGCCATCATATGCCCATTATAACCCCTGCATACCCGTGCATGAACTCGAGCTATAATGTTTCCACAAGCACGCTGAGGGTTATGATGGAACAATTCCAGTTTGGTAATAAAATTTGCCAGGTAATCTTCTTTGCACCACTGAAGTTACTATTTCATAAATACTTACGCTGACCATGTATTGTATGCCCTCTGGTTCAGGAAATTGAAATGAATAAGGCCAGCTGGTCTGCTCTGTTTGAGCCTTTTCAATTTTTCGAAGCATACAAGAATTATCTACAGGTTGACATCATCGCCGAGGATGATGAAGACCTTAGACTTTGGAAAGGATGGGTTGAATCTCGATTGCGGCAACTAACTTTGAAGGTAATGTGCGCGTATGTTATATTGGTTGCATCATACAAGCTTAGTCAACTTGCTAGCTTGCTGCTTGTTTTGTGGTACCAGAGGTGGTGGTAGGAAACATGTTGGTAAGCCACTGTTAGTTTTTCACTGTTTGATTCAGTTGCTATTTTGATTGTTAGTCACCCCTAGTAAGATAGTTTTTTATCAAGGTGGTGTCATTGTTTCTGTCAGTCAGTCCCATGATTTTGTGTCTAATTTTAATGCTGTTGCATAGTTTTTTATCAAGGTGGTGTCATTATTTCTGTCAATAAGTCCCATGATTTTGTGTCTAATTTTAATGCTGTTGCTGTTAATTTGTCATGTGCTGAACTAAGATAATTTCTTGTCGGTTGTAAACAGATTGAACGTGATACATATGGAATGCTACAGTGTCATCCGTACCCACATGAGTATGCAGACCCTTCTAGGCAGTGTGCTCATTGTGCTTTCTTCATGGGATTATCAAGGAAAGAAGGTGTGAAAATACAGGAAGGACAACAGTTCGATATTCGTGGAACGGTGGATGAGTTTAGGCATGACATCAATTTGTATAAGTTCTGGAAGCCCGGGATGGAGTTAGCTGTTTCTCATGTTCGGAGGAAGCAGATCCCAGCTTATGTGTTTCCAGAGGGTTATAAAAGACCTCGCCCTTCAAGACATGTGAACCATCAGTCTGATAAAAATGACACTGAAGATGGCACAGCAACCAGGTCCCCGGACAGTCAGCTGAAGAGAAAGCTTGATTCTGTTGGAACTGATGATATTGAACCCAGCAGGTCTGCTAAGAGGTCATCGGTCAGCCCAGTTCATCCGAAAAATTCACCTCAATCTGGGAACACTGGCGATGAGACTAGATGTAACAACCAAATAAAAAGGGCTCCTAGTGATGCAAGTGGTGGTAGTCCGGCTTCACCTCAGGCATCAGAGAGAAGCCCAGATACCATTGTGTCTGCCCCTAGGTGTACGACAATAGGAGCAGTGTGTTCTGGTGATGCAGTTAGTAAACATGTTCCTCTTGTTGAGAACTGCACCACTCCAACTGTAGCAGTGTGCACAACTTTGAAGCGCGTAGCTGAGAAAGTTGTATCAGAGCTAGTTGGAAGTGAAAGGTTGGGGAGCAACAACAGTGCTGAATTGGTGGAGAGTATGGAAAAGGATGTCCTTGCTGAAAATGTTCGTTTTGGCGGGAATGGAGTTACTCAAGGTGGCCTTCCCGAAGAGTTAGAGGTGATGCTTCTGGTGCACACTGCTCCAGTTTTTGTGCTGTCTAACATGATCTGAACATTCTTATTTAACTTTTTTGATGTATAAAAGCCAAACCATAGGATTGAAGTGGTTTCTTAAGCTGATGCAGGTATGAACAAGGATACATCATGGAAGTCGTCACTGAGGCATGGTCTTGAACTCAACCCTTGTGCATTCAGTATCTACATTGCTCTGTTTTCTTTATACTCGACTGTTTGGTATTTGTCTACTACTTTATGGCAGGGTTAGTGGCATCAACGCACAAGATTGGGGAAAAATGGTGTAGAGATGGACAAGTTCTACCCCTTGCTGGATGGAATGGTAAGTAGCTCAACTCACAAGTTTCCTTCTGGACACAGATTTGCAATTGCGGGGGTTTCTCTGATGGGAGATGGTCGAAAATCATGCCTTGCAACGGCATGGCAAAAAACAACAAAGAAGATTTCGTGGAAGGGCATGGTCGAATATCATGTCTTGCTGGTACACTCTAGATGAGCATGGACCTTCAGTTTTCGGTTTTTACTTGTCGAGCAGCTGGCTCTTGTGTATGAACTGAGCTACAGCGGGCTTCCCTGAGTTGACTTGTTTGATTCTGAGATGCCCCTGCCATACTGTAGGTCTAGAATAGAACTAGATGAGATGCTGTGTTCCGTAGGGCCCGTTTGTACCCCTCCTTTGTAATATAAGATTTTTAACTGTTTCTTGTGTGCTAGTGGTACCATTCATGTGATGATTCTGATGAGTTATAATAAAGGTCACATTTTCTGTCTTGGTGCTCTCATTGGAACGAAAGATTTGTGAGCAATCAGTAGCCAGCGGTGATACGGATTGCAATCTGTCGTCAAAACACACATGATGATACGGATAGCACTTGGTTTTCTTAAATAGGAGTACTAATAAAGTGATCTTTTGTATCTCTTTTGTTTCCCTTCTCACTTTGTCTGATACATAGATTTTGCATTGTCTACCGGGCCCACATAGATTGTGCATTGTGTCGGGCACGATCACATTAAATCTTCCAAATTACAGATCTGGCAAATGGCAATGCCAATATAGGGTCTGTTTGGATCCTACTAAAAATTAGCTAGGTAATAGTTAATAGTTGCTAGTTTTTAGCTGATAATGAGTTGGAGGTACATATAAACGTTAGCAGCTCCTAGTATTAATTTGGATCCACTAGTAATGTTTGGTGCTAGAATAGAATGGATCCAAACATGGGCTATTTGTTTACTTCACAGTCAGGCCCGTCTGTGGATCGTTCTTTACCTTGGGCCAGTCTAGGTAAACATGGGCTATTTATTTGACAGTCAGGCCCGTCTAGGTAAACATGGGCTATCTGTTTATTTCACAGTCAGGCCCGTTTGTGTATCGTTCTTTACATTGGGCCCGTCTAGGTAGGCCCGGTTCCGGATCATTCTTTACTTTGGACCCGTCCCGGAGCTCTACTTTGAGCATGATCGGCAGAAAAGTCCATATTATCTCTCTCAACTTTCGTGAAAGTCTACTTTTCATTTCTAAACTCTAAAACTGGCTAAACCACCTCCTGAAATTTTAAAACCGTTCGTTTTACCTCCATGACCGGTTATAAGCGGTTTTCAAAGACGGTTTTATCTTTATCTTTTTTATTTATTTTGGTTAAATCTTTGAAAAATCATAATAAATTATAAAAAAAATCATAAAATAAAAAATCAAATTTTGTTAGACTCCACACAAGTAAACAGTGAACATATAATATGATATGCTTTAGTACAAATTTTTTGCTGTAGCTTTAGATCTATGATTTTCTATAATTCATTCATAGCTACAGTTTCTATGATCTAATTATGGTGGACTAATTATTATATGCTTGAACTGTAGTAAAAAATTCATACTCATTGGATCATGTATAACTTAGTTATAATTTATTACTTAGCTATAGATTTATAAATAATAAATCTATGGGCTTTTTCCTCATAGTATAGATCTCACTTTCTGAATAGAATTGAAGGACCAAAAGATAAATCTCTATGGGCTTACTTGGTTTGCGACTAAAATTTGCCGTGCTAAAGATTTGGCAAGTAAAAATTAGACATAAAATTTACCATAGATTTTGCAAGCTAATGTAAGAGGTTGGCAAGTTTTGATATAGCGGGTCTGATTGGTTGGCTTCCAAAATTTGCCAAGCCAATAATTTGGCAACAAAAAGTTGTTAAAAGTTGGGCAAAAGTATTTGCCACAGATTTGGCAAACTAAATGTGAGGTATTGATAAATTTTGATAACCAACCAAATAGAGGCCAAAAACTTGGCTTGCCCAAGTTTTGGCAACCAAAATTTGGCTATCAACTAACCATGCCCAGCAAACCAAATAACAGTCAAATTATGGCTTGCCAAATCTTTGACTTGGCATAATTTGAAAGCGAACCAAACAGATCCTGTATCTATCAACCACAAACAGCCCAAGGTGTCTCAGAGCGGGTTCTCCAAGTTCAAGGAGGAGCTCTTTGTTTGAAAACTGAGTGACATCGTTTGCTAGTTAATTGAATACCGAGCCACATTGTTTCAATACTGAGTTTACATTTGCACACAATTTGTTTAATACGCCACCGCACTGGTGGGCGGCCGTCGTGGGGGCCCTACCGGTGCGCCGCCAGATCTGGAGTGAAGGAGAGTGAGATGTATCATTGGTCTCTAAACTTTTTCATGTATCATCGTTTGGATCCATAAACTCTGAATCTAGGTCCTTCCAACTTTTCAAGTTGTTCATTTGGAGTCAATTCAGGTCCATAATTGGACCTACAGTGAGTTTAGAATGAACCATTTGAAAAGTTGAATGAGAAAATGAGAATGCGGGAAACCAAAGACCCACTGCGCATTTCACTATTAAATTATATATCACTTTAGTTTTGTTCCAAGTTTTTTTTTTCATTTTGATCCGTCAATACCTATATACACCCTCCGATTTATAATAAATGCACATCTCATTTCTTAAGGAGTCAAACTTTTCTTAAGTTTGACTAGAAATATAGAGAATCGTATCAACATTTGTTTGTCCAAATAAGTTTGTTATGAAATCATATTCCATCGTTTAATGTAATGGTACTTACCATACACTATAAATGTTAGTACATTTTTATATATATTTAGTCAAAATTTAAAAGATTTAATTTCTCGAGAAGCGTGATGTGTGTTTACTTTGGGACTGAGGGAGTACATAATATTAAATAGCGAATAGATTTTTCCATTAGTCCTTTTACTTCCCACAATGCCCTTGCGTCTTTCTTAACTCGTCTGGGGCTAGACTACGATATGTGCTCATATGAGTTAGAACAATGCACGTTTGTGCGTCCATAGATGGTATAGAGGCCAATTTTAATACTCCCTCAGTCCCCAAATAGATCAATTCAAAGAATCCGTGCACATCAAACTATATATCTTAAATTTAACGAACTTTATAGAAAAGAGTAACAACATCTATGACATATTCTATGGTATATCTAATGATACTAATTTGATGTCATAAATCTTGATGGTTTTTCTTCTAGAAATCCGATCGAAGTTTAAAAAGTTTGACTTAAGACAACTCTAGAAATATATTTAATCAAGGACAGAGAGAGTATGTATTAGAACAGTTACATAAATAGCCGAACCCTAAGTTAGCATTTGGTTGGGAGACAAGGTGGGGTGGGATGGTCCCAACCCTGGTTCGTGGGATGGGATGACTTCATTTTCTGTTTGGTTGACGAGAGATGGGGCCAATCCATTTTTTGTTTGGTGTGGAGACCTCAAAAGTGGGATCTGTCACTGACAAATGGGACTCATTTATAATTTTTCCTTTTTTTATTTTTTCTTCCTCTCTCTCCCCTTATCCTCCCGTCCCAACAGCCGCTCGCACCAGGCCGCAACCCGCCTGCACCGTGAGCCGCGCCGACGACGCGAGCTCAGCCGCACGCCACCCCGCCGGCCAGCCTGGCCGCGAGCCGCCCGGCGCCTCCTCCTCCACGGCGGCAGGGCCGGCCCTAGAGCTCGCGCGCCTGCCGGGGGCGGAGCTCGCCGGGGCCGGGCACAATGGCGCCAGGGGCGGAGCTCGCCGGGGCCGACCACGACGGTGCAGGGGCGGAGCTCTGCTCCCATGGCCGCGCGCGGTGCCTGTGGATCTGTGTCTCGCTGGATGTCCACCTCCGAAGCTCGTCGGACCTCAGTCGCCCATGGACCTCCACCCCTGCCGGCCTCCACCGCGCCCGACCACGGCCTTCTCTCTTCTCTTCTTTCCGACAGTGCGCGCTCGCAGCTCGTCCCACTTGGGGCGTCCCCATCCGTGAAATTTCTGAGACGCCCGGCATCTGATGGGTATATTCACATGTGGGATGTCCTCGACCCTGCTGGCCTCCCAACCAAACACAACTCGTCCCAGGCCCCTCCCATCCCATCCCACTTCGTCTCTGCAACCAAACACACGGTAAGTCATTCAGGTGTTTGTGCGATAAGGTATATGTTTCGTTGTAGCATATGAGTACGTTTGCTAGTTTATAGAAAACATATACAAATATCTACCAACTTTGTACAAAATATGTCTTCATTGTTCATTTATTTGAACCTGTAAATATGAATATATATATATATATATATTTATTTATATTTATATTTTTAAAAATTTGGCTAAAATTAAAGAAAATTGATTTAGAACAAACGTAAAATGACTTATAATATTGGAGGGGGAGTGTAGAGAATGAAAGACATAATCAGATATCAAGTCTTTCAACTTGTACTCTCTGAGAAAAAAAGGATTCAAGAAACACTGGTGTGGCTACGCTTTCCAGTCGAGGAAATTGGAAATTAATCATCTGACAGTGACAATGGAGCTCTCTAGATCTCTCGGCGGCTAATTAGTTGTGGAGAATATCATCTGAAATTTCTGAATGCTTCTCCGGTTCTCCCCGCTGACACCATATGTTGTTTGATTCATTGATTGTGCTATCAATAAAAGCACCCCGTTCGTTTAAGAAATTGCTGATTAGAATGTACGTCATAATTGATAGACCCCTGGATCTCCGGTATG